TTCTGGTTTTGAAAAATGTTTAGTTTCTAAAAATACAGATTCCAATCTGTACATTCCCTAAAATCTATAATTTTTACTGTTTCAAAATTCTAGAATTCTAAGATTTTAAAATTTCAGTTTTAGCAACTTAAAGAAGGTTCTATAAACTTACGATTTTAGAAATTTTTAGAAATCTGTTAGGAAAAATGAAAATTACTGTGAATATTTGACAGAAATTTAATGGAAAATTTTCACTCCTTATCTTAAAAAGAGGCAAAATTGTTGGTTTTAAAACAGTCTTATTGACTTTATGATAAAGCAAATATAACTTCAATGTTAAATAATCAAAAAAATTGTAATTTTGAACGAAAACAACACTCGAAACTCTGAATATTAAAATTTCTGCTGTGTAAATCGTTATTTTCTCGATGACTCGCAAAAATCAATTTCAAATTCACACACTAGAAAAAAAAGATAAAGCAAAATCTCATTAAACAAACAAGAGATAATGAATAGGTATATAAACCCCTCAACACAACTTAATCACCAGTAGTGACTTTGAATTTTGTGATAATTTCAAAAATGGCCCCAGCTTACAAACTGACTTATTTCGACGGCAGAGGCCTTGGTGAAACCTCCCGTTTCCTCATGAAATATGGAGGAATCGACTTTGAAGACTGCCGAATCAAGCGAGAGGACTGGCCCCAAATGAAACCAAGTATTTCCCCCAAAAACAACTAAAACTTCCCCTAAAGTGCAACCTTTTCAGAATTTCCTTTCGGCCAATTGCCAACATTGGAACACAACGGAAAAATAGTGAACCAAAGTCAAGCTATTTCCCGATATTTAGCCAAACAAGTCAAACTTGCTGGTAATGATGATTGGGAAAACCTAGAAATTGACGCTATTGTGGACACCATCAACGATTTGCGCTTGAGTAAGACTTGATTTTCCCCCAAGACACATTTTCACGATTAATTGCAGAAGTGTCAGCTTATTTCTACGAAAAAGACGAAGCAAAAAAGCAAACTATTTTGGAAAATGTCAACAAGGAGGTTTTGCCCTTCTATTTGAAACGGTTTGAGGAAATTGTCAAGAAGAATAAAGGACATTTCGCACTTGGAAGAGTAAGAAAATTTAAAAAAAAGCATTTTTTTTTCAAATTTTTTGTTTAGTTGACCTGGGCTGATTTTTACTGGGCGACAGTTTCTACAGGTTTGGATATGGTAACAAAAGTGGACACGATTGCAAATTATCCAGAATTGAAGGCAGTTAGAGACAAGGTTAATTCGCTACCAGCTATCAAAAAATGGATCGAACAACGACCCAAAACCGACTTTTAATTATCTATTATTCAATAAATTGTAAACACCACTTATCATGTTTTAACTCAATTCCCTATATCATTTATTTAATCTTATCTTTGCAAATTTTGTAAAAATTTGTATTGCGGGAAGGCAACCAATTATACATTACCTGTGTGAATTATAGTTTCAATACGATTATAATCAACTATTTACAATAGAAAAGTTCTTTTAATTGCATTGTAATGTAATTACAAAACTTAAATTAATAATTGCTAATTTTAATTTGTATTGTGGGTAGGCAACCATTTATACAACAGTTGTGTGAATTATAATTTCAATACAATTATAAATAATCAAATATTAACAAAATAGAGAAGCTTTTTTAAATGCATTGTGAACTACAATGTAGCTAAATACAAAATTTTAATCATAAAAATTTTAAAAATTAATTGGTGATTTTAGTTTTTCAAGTTTGGCACTCCTTTTGCCCCCACCTGTCATAACCTAAAAACCGCAGTTAAATTATTGAAATAAAAAATTAGAATTATCAAGAATGGATTCGTTAGGGGGCGGATTAACCGGGGCCCAAAAAGACGAACTAATGGATCAAGTCAAGCAACAAATAGCCGTTGCAAATGCGCAAGAACTTCTCACTGTAAGTTGTCACATTTCACCGAATTAAAACCACGCTGTTTTTTACAGAAAATGACTGAAAAATGCTTTAAGAAATGTATAAACAAGCCGGGGACATCTCTGGACAGTTCCGAACAGGTTAAATCACAGTTTTGTAAACCCAACTTTGATAATTTCTTTCCAGAAATGTGTAGCAATGTGTATGGATAGGTACATGGACTCGTGGAATTTGGTCTCGAAGGCTTACAGTTTGCGAATCCAAAGGGAAAGACACAACATGTGAAAAACCCCCAATTGTGTAGAATGAAATAGTGTTCGTAATGATCTGTAAATACATTTTGTAGTCAACTACTTTATTAATCACAAATTTAAGGCACATATTCAAAATTAAGTACAAGAAGCCATAAGTACAAATCTAGAGACTAGAATTCGTCCCCACACTTAAATTAGTTTCAATATCGGTCGAATTACTCGATTTATTGTCACTTTTCTTCGCTTGTTGCAACTCGTCGAACAATGGCTTACCTCCTGACAACTCAATTTCGCTCCCCGACATGAAATCCTCCTCGTAATCATCCTTAATCTCAAAATCGTACTCTTTCGACTTTTTGCTATACAATGAGGGCAATAAATCACTCCTCGATTTGTTTATGGGCAAGTCGAGTTTACGTTTGTCACTTTTCTTTGATTTATCCTCAGATTTGGGGCTACTGTCTTGATCCGTTGTGCTGTCTTCATTCGTCGATTTGTCACAACCATTTTCCTCTTCTATGGAACTTGTACCATTGAACGTATCGTCATTTTCCACGTCTTTTTTCACATATGTTGAATCTAAAGCTGCATTTTCTAGCTTAGGATTCTTCAACTCATTTTTACTAAGAATCGAATCGGTCTCAGAGGCATGTCCGTTTTGTTCACTGTTAATATTCAAATTGATTTTGAGAGTTTTTGACTTGATTTGAGCAATTTTGAGTAAGTGTAAGAGAACAGGCCCGGAAAAACTCTCATCAGTTGGTTTCAAACCCAAATCTTCGATGATTTTCTCACGCCCTTCGTACTTATAAAAACTACCAACGTACGATTCAGGTTCGTAAACAGACGCAGTAAAATCGAGATTAAAATACTCCAGAAACTCCCTAACTAGACAAAACATCAATTGACCCTCGGGCGCTTCTAAATGCGACTTGATTTTTGTGTTTAACAGGGGCTGTTGTTTACTTATCTAAAAACGTTTAATTAATACAAAAAGTATCAATTTGTGTAAATTACTTTAGAATCTTCGTCTAAGGCAAGAAATAAATTTGCTCTGAGTTGGGCCTGAAACAAGACAAAGTCACACAATGAAACAAAATAAGACATATCATACTCGTATTTTGGGGAGACAACCGTTCAATTCAAGTGTTTGAGCCACCATGTCTCGCAATTCAACTTCTTCTTCAACTGACATTTTTTCTCTCAATTTCACACAAAATTGTCAATCACAGCACAAATAACTGAGCAAACGTTTACTTTCATTTAGAAACACAACAAAAAACAGAAAAAAATTCAAAATTGCGTTGTTTCAACCCCCATTTTTAACACCTGTCACAAACGTCATTCCCCACCCTTTTCAACCAGTGGCTACCAAACAAACACCCCCAGACAAATATTTTTATTACACTTTTCGAAAAATTTACAATTCAATGACGGGCCGAATGTGACAATCGTCGTGTCGGCGAACGTTTGATACTCTTCAAGATTGAGAAAATCGTATTTGGGGCTACCCCCATGTTTAAAAATTCAACTAAAATCCTACAACATTTTGACAATCACTGGTTTGTTGTTTTTTCAATTTTGGGAAAAAAAACCTGAAAACTTTAACGTCCATATGGACACCGGCCAATTCAGATAAGAGCTGAAGCTCGTCTTGATGGGGCTGTAGCCGGCCGGAAATATTTAACGGAGTCTCTGTGTGCATCTTGAAACTTGAAACGCTACCACTAAACGGGGGCTTCTTTCCACACAAATCGTTTGATGAACTCATCAAAAATTAAATGTGCAAAGCCCCGAAAATTCAGCCCTTTGAACCAAAATTGTCAAAATTTGTATTTCAGTTTTGACAGTTTGAGTTTGACACATGTCAACAAATATTTGAATTAAATATTAATTTAGATCATCACCAAGATCCTAAACTTAAATTAAAAGAAAATGTATGGTTTATTTTTGTCCAAACACGCAATTTTATTTATTTTCGACGATTTAATAATATTGATCACGTCCTGTGGTTAGATTCTCAAAAATAATTTAACAGAAATTTGTTAAATCATTACTTTTAGTCACTTAGATAGTAAAAATCAGACACTTGTAAGTAAAAATAATACAAATATTTGTTATTTTGTGTGTGGAAATTTGTTTTTCGTTTCGAGATCCGTCCTGTGTTTACCCTAATTCGACATTTTCTCGACCTTCGTGTCGCATGTGTGTGTGTAAGAATCAAATTACCGCAAATTTCGGCTAAAAATTCCAAAAATTCCTGTGTCAGTGCTCAAAAAATGTCAGCTTTGAATGATACCGACATTTATTCCCAAAATTACGACACCACAAGCGGCAATTTAGGTAAAAAACCCCCAACATAACCTCAACGATTATATAAACCCAATTTTAGGAACATACAAACCATTCTCGTCACCATACCTCAACTTTGACCCCAGTTACTTGCCTCAAGCCCAACCCGAATTTATCTTCCTCGATGGGGCTAGCAAACAACGAGGGAGATTCGAGTTAGCCTTTGGCCAAATTGGGGGCTCTTGCATGATTGGAGCCTCGGTTGGGGGCGCATCCGGGTTTTACAATGGCTTGAAAGCGACAACATTGGCAGGACAAACCGGAAAATTACGACGGACACAGTAAAATTTTTATATTTTTTTTCTCTCTTCTAAATTGTGATTTTTAGGTTATTGAATCATGTCATGAAACAAGGAAGTACCACAGCCAACACTTTTGGTTCCATCGCTGTGATTTATTCGGCTTTTGGTGTTATTCTCTCATGGGCAAGGGGGGCTGATGACGATCTCAACACTATTATTGCAGCCACAGCCACTGGTTGTTTATACAAGTCCACAGCCGGTTTAAGAAAATGTGGGTTAGGTGGGGCTGTAGGATTAGGAGCCTCACTCTTGTACGCCCTCTGGAATTCGCGAGATAAATTCACACAATTCAGGCAACTCAATCCGGCGTAAGACTTGCTATTTTGTTTTAGAAACAAATTTTAACATAGGTTTTAGGTTAATTTAAGTACTGATTTGGCTAGACAACTAAATTATTTTAACAATTTCAATATACTAGTACAATTTATCTACATAGTAGATTGCTTGGGTTACCAATAAATTGTCATTATTTAGATTGGACAAGCCAATTTTTGGTAGGATATAGAAAGTTATAAAAACAATTTTTACCACTTTTTTTATACTTTCTATCAACTTATCTTTTGTATATAATTTGTGCTGTGATCTACCATTGTTACATGGAATAAATATTACAACTATTCTGTTTTTTTAGTGACTTATTTTTAATTCGTTATTTTTCCGTAGGCAACGGTAAACGAGCCCGGAAACCGTTTTAATCAAGACTAGATAAGTGTAAATACATTTCCAAAATTATGCGAACATATTGTAAGTTATTTAATAAATTTATTTTAATTACGATGAGTTATTAGAATCCCATTAGTAATAATAATTTAAAAATAATGCAACTATCATTACACAGTGTATTGCTGGTTGCCTACTGCATAAGCCCAATGAGTTAATTTAATTATTAATTAGATTATAAACAAATGTAGATACAAACATATTGTAAATTTTTTTACGTTTTAATTACGTTGAATTAACTCAATCCTTTCAGTAATTGAAATAAAAAATAAAGCGTCAAACATGGCAACAGTGCATTGTTGGTTATCTACCACATTAATTTAATAACATTTAATTACTCAAAAATGAACTGGTAATTAAAACTACAACTTCTCACCTTGGTCTTTAATACATTAGTTTAATCAAAATAAAAAAACATTAAGAATGTGATTTTAAGCAAAAAAAATCTTTTTTATAAAAACTATAAACAAATAAAAATACATTTTCGATATAAACAATAAAAAAATCAATAAATTTATCCACATTCTATTATAATTACGTTGAATTTTTAGAATTAATAAAAACAACGTAACAAACATGACGACGGTGTATTGTTAGTTTCATATCACACAAATAAAAATTTAATTTTAACGAAATTTAAATGTTGATAAATAGACCGGTCAATAAAACTACAACAGCTTCTCTCATCGCAATCTGTAACACTAAAAAAAAATGTGTTTTTAGCCAAGAAAAAAACGTTAAAAATCTGATTTTAAAAGCAAAAAAAATATATTTTTTTAAAAATTGTAAATAAAAAAAATAAATTTTCAATGCAAACATATTGGAAATGATTTAATATATTTATTCACATTCTAATAAGATTGATTTTAAAATAAAAAACAATCCATCAAACATCTCAACGGTGTATTATTGGTTGCCTGCCACAGACGTAGAAGAGTCAATTTTATTATTAATTTAATAAAATTTGATTACTGATAAATGGACCGTTAATTAAAACTACAACAACTTCTTATTTCGATCTTTAAAACATAACGAAAATGAGTTTTTAGCCCAAAAAAGCGTTATAAATGTGATTTTAGCCGAAAAAAAATCGTTTTTATAAAAACCATAAAAAAGTAAAAATACATTTTCGGTGGAAACATATTGTAAATCATTTAATAAATTTATTCACATTCTAATTACGTTGAATTTTTAGATAGAAAATTAAAAAGCAGCGCAACAGACATCGCAACGATGCATTGCTGATTGCCTATCACAGGAATAGAAGTCTCAATTCGATTAATTTAAAAAAAAATAATTACTAAGAAAAATACATCTTCAATGCAAACATATTGTAAATCATTTAATAAATTTATTGACGTTGAATTTTTATAATAATTAAAATTAAAATAATGCAACAACCATCGCAACTGTGTATTGCTGGTTGCCTACCATACAAGTAGGAGTGTCCAATTTAACAATTAATTTAATGAAATTAAGCCACTAACGAATGGACCGATGACTAAAACCACAATAACTCCTCATCTTGGTGTCAAAACCATAATAAAAATGAGTATTTAGCAAAAAGATTGCTAAAAATAAATGATTTCTTATCTTAAAAATGTTTGTACATCCCTATCTACCTATCCAGGTGAATGAGCTAATTAGCTTTTGATAAAACAGGTGGGTTGTTTACAGTGCATTGTTGTGTTTGTAAACACAAATTTATAGTATTTTAGTGGTAAGTATAAATATTTGAGGTTAAATATAATAATAAAGACTTGTTCAAAGCCTCTTGTTGGCTTTAACCACACGAACAACGCCTTTTTTATTCATCTCTTTGCTTATCTACTATCTCGTATTATTTGTACAAGTAACAAATTTATGATAAACACGCGTACGACAAAAATCATACATGAAATAATTTTTTTCTAGGAAAAAAACTAAAAATGAGCCAAGTTTTGGCCGAAAAAAAACTCCTCGTGACATACTCACTGTGCACAGTCTTGGGGGCTGTGGCCAGTATCACGACAGGCATCGCATGGGGCCACTGGAAACTGACTTTAGACCAATGCGTGAACGGCAAAAACTGCAGCTGTATTTTATACGGACAACACACACCATCGAAATTCCTCGGCGGTAGTGCAGCCCCCTGTATTTGGGTGACATTCGGCCCCCTTTTCTACGTATTATTCACCATCGCAATGACTTGTTTCCACGGCTATCGAGTCATCTTCAGTTCACGTTCGGTCAAAACACGCACTGTCATGAGCAAAAATGAGTAATAATTTAATAAATTAAAAAAAAATTCTTACTAAGTCCAAATTTCAGAGTTGGTGAAACTGTGGAGACACGAGTGGTGCAAATCGACGATACAGCCCGTCTCCCTCGCGCCTTTTGGGCCACTTTGGCCGTTTTGACGTCCATATGGACGGTTTATGCCCTCGTCCATTTCGCCATATTCTTGGACGGGTTTTACCACACGTGCAATCAGTACAGAAGGACGCTTGAGGTGTTATTGGGGGTCCATGGGACTGCCATTCCCGTCATTCATGGACGGTTGTCCTGCCAGAGTATCTTCGATTTTATGGACTACATGCAACCCAGTAGTGGATATGGATACAGGGACGGTTTTATATACACAGGGGCGGATCTCATAATCGGGATTTTGGCCTCATGTTTCGCCTGGATCCTCCTCGCCTTTGCCTCGTTTGTCAATATCAAAAGAGCCAAGCTTCAGGAGTAGAAAAGTATAACAGTACAAATTTCTTGCGTAACAATCACAAATTTATTTGTATGCAAAAAGTTACAAAAGTGCAATTAAGTTAAATACTAGTATATAAATAAATGGAATGTTTTTATACGAACTATGTATACATACACTTTTTTTATAAATAAATAATCTTTTAAACATCAACTAGGTTTCCTCTTATTACTAAAACAGGACCTACATGTCACAATAAAAGCGTTTTAATTGACTTGCTATATGTAGGAAATTCAAGTTTGTTTTTTACACTTTGGCTTATTTCATTCATACTTTTGCAAATTTTGATTTGGAAAGGCACCGAAATACTTGACGCTGTTTTACTCAGACTTGATGCTTAAGTAACGTAATAATTACAGTCTTGTCTTCATCATCATAGCAAAAAAAACATTTTATCATACCACTTTTAAATTTTCATTTTGACATTTGACACTTTCAAAAATGACGTCAAATTTTTTCACAGCAATCTCGATTCTCGCAATTTTGACTACGTTTACATTAAAATGCTCGAAAACGAACAATTTCTGGTTTAAAAATAACAGTTTAGTGTGTAATTGACCCACTAATTGTATGACTACCCATAATGGGCCAAGTTTTAGTTTTGATTCATTAAAAATGGTTAAAAATGCCGTGTAAACGTAGTTAACATTTTACTCATAATGGAAAATTCTGTCATTTTACAGCCTTCTCATCATCTACTAACAAAATAAAACATTTTACCTGAATTACACGAAAAACACACTTTTAATCCACCCAAACATTTTTAATTTGACATTTTCTAATTTTTCCACAGCAATCTCGATTCTCGCAAAATTTGACTACGTTTACACAATATTTTTATTAAAATGCTCGAAAATAAACAATTTCTGGTTTAAAAATAACAGTTGAGTGTATAATTAACCCATTAATTGTATGACTACCCATAATGGGCACTACCACGGGGCAAGTTTTAGTTTTGATTCTGTAAAAGTGGTTAAAAATGCCGTGTAAACGTAGCCTATGTTTTAATGAAAAAAATCTGTCATTTCTGTAATAATAATTAGCCTTGTTTTAATTTACTAACAAAAAACATTTTATCATACCTGAATTACACGAAAAATACACTTTTAATCCACCTAAAACTAAAAATTTTTTCACAGCAATCTCGATTCTCGCAAAATTTGACTCCGTTTACACAACGTTTTTATTAAAATGCTCAAAAACATACAATTTCTGTTTTAAAATGTAACAGTCAAGTGTATAATTGATCCATTAATTGAATGACTACGCATAATGGGCACTATCATGGGTCAGGTTTTAGTTTTGATTTTTTTAATGTTTAAAAATGCCCTGTAAACTTAGTCAACATTTTAATTTTTTTACAAATGTCATTATTTTTAAACCATGTGGTTTTCAAATTCGATTATTTTCACTTTTATTTCATTCCCAATAAGTAAAAATTGCATTTAAAACAGCTTCTGTTTCATGAAAATTTTACTTTAAATCGAAAATTACAGTGTCCTGTAATTGCAAAAAGCTTGAATTTGAATAAAATAAAATTCACGATGATTTAATAAATAATAACAAAAATAGATGTCTTAGGTAAATTTGTTTTGTAAATCAATAAATTTCACCGCAAAATTTCAAAATCTTCAAAAATGACGTCAAATTTCGATGTGGTTAAATTTGACTACGTTTACACGTTTTTATTAAAATGCCCGAAAACTAAACAATTTCTGTTTTAAAATGTAACACTCAAGTGTATTGGAGTAAAAGTCACCAACCCGGAGGAAATTTCGATAAGAAATGAAAATTTTTCTTGTTCCCGGAGACCTACCCAGAACTCCGAGGCCGAAGAATGCGTCCAAATTTTAATGTGTTACTTGTTTGTAAAGATTTGTCTATTATTATATCTATTAACGAAGTTTTACTATTTTAAGTTATTTGTAAAGATTTTGTAATATTTTAATTTTAATTATGTAAATTTGTTTTAAAGATGTGTATTATTTTATGTATTAATCAAGTTAATGCTCCTCTACTTTTGTTAAACAATTTCAAATATATTTATAACAAACTATAAAAATTAAAAAAAATACGACAAAATCCCAGTTTCGTTTCTTTAAAAATGGTTATGTGCCGTGTAAACGTAGTCAATATTTTGATAAAATAAAATACATAATAATGTGGTTTTCAGATTCGGACTTTCGGCTAACGATTCGTATTCAAGTATAACAAATCTACATAGATTTTTTAGTTTGAATAAATAAATAATTCTCAGACTTTTGAAAATTACAGTTTCCTGTAATTATGGGAACCTGTAATACCCACAAGCTTGAATTTAATAGATAACAAAGACAGCTGCCTTATGTAAAAAAGCTGCTTTCTAAATCGCTAAATTTCACCTTGTTGTAACCTCAAGAAAACGGATTACTAATTCTCTTTGTTGTAAATTTTCTATCTTCCTGTTCAGGACTACGTAACACTTCAAAAGGCATCACAGAACAACGTTCAACCTCTTCACAATCATCCGACGAAAAATCCTCAAAACTCATATTACTAAAACCCCCTTGTGTTTTCGTCTTTGATTTATGTGTCTTAATCTTTGACACTTTCCGATTTGGTTTAACAATTTTTGCATTTTTAGTAGTAAAATTTATACTCGGACTGTCATCACTAACACTTTCATCAATCAAATGATATTTCGATTTTCCATCTTTCTTCTTATCTTTCTTATATTTATGGTGGATTTCGGTATTGGTAACAGGCGGCGGCGTAAAATCAAATAAATTGTTTTCGGGGGGGAAAAACCCAGACTCGGGTGGGGGGAAATACGGATCGACTTCGGTGAAATTCGACTCGAATCGGGTCGGGTAACACTCCTGTGATGGTATTTCGATATTGATGAAATTCGAATTGACAGTTACTGTACCATAATTCGAAGTGCTTTGAATCGGATTTGGAAAATCAAGAAATGGATTTGAGTTTTCCTCATTTTTTGATTTAGCTCTCGGTTTGTTATTAAACGGTGCCAAAGCAAAAACATCATCATCGTAACTACTCGATGGTGGTATCCATAAATCGGGTTTTTGGGACCACGTCAACTTAACCTCACAATCCGAATCCAATTCATCGTCCAATAGCAACGGTTTATCGCCATATTGATGCCCAATCAAGAGCATATCTTCATCTTGCATCTCACTCTTCTTTGCCTCTTCTTTTATCTTCGCTCTTATCATTCGATTCGTGCTATCATCCTCATGGGTGGCCATGCTTTCGCATTCGGCGTGATAAGCCGACGAACCACACGTTTTAATACTTTCACTCACCGTTTCACTAATCGCATCACCTTTGACCATTTCTGTATCTTCGTCGATGCGCAAGTCACTCGCTGAACCAATCGAATCGTCCGATTCCATATCCACCGAATCGTTTTTTTTGTTTTTCGGCGCCGCCTTCTTTTCGAGAGTTTTATAAACCGATTGGAGTTTTTCCGGGATTGTTTTTCGTTTGTTCTTTTTTAATTTGTCATTGTTTTCGTCTGAACTACTCTCCGAACTGATGTAATTACTTTGGGTTAGTTTTTCGTATTTGGAACGGTCCTCCAATGGGGCTTTTACGTACGGTGGTGAGGTCACTAGATCCGGTTCGGATTCGATTAAAGGTGCTTCGGTCTCGGATTGATGAGGGGGCGAATATGTGAAATTCGGTTCTTGATCTTCTTTGATTTTTTGCCTCAAAACTGGAAAAAATTACGCATCATTCGAAATGGTTTAGAAGTTAACTATTCATCGTAGGACGATGATCTTTTTTGTATATGATAGAAAACTAAATTAATTTCTGGTTTAAAAATAACAATTGAGTGTATAATTGACCCATTAATTGTTTGACTACCCATAATGGGCCAAGTTTTAGTTTTGGTTCCTTAAAAATGGTTAAAATTGCCGTGTAGACGTAGTCGATATTTTACTCATAATGGAAAATTCTGTCATTTTACAGCCTTCTCATCATCTACTAACAAAATAAAACATTTTATCATACCTGAATTATACGAAAAACACACTTTTAATCCACCCAAACATTTTTATTTTGACATTTGACATTTTCTATTTTTTTCACAGCAATCTCGATTCTCGCAAAATTTGACTACGTTTACACAACATTTTTATTAAAATGCTGGAAAACAAACAATTTCTGGTTTAAAAATAACAGTTCAGTGTATAATTGACCCACAATGAACACTACCACGGGCCAAGTTTTAGTTTTGATTCTTTAAAAATGGTTAAAAATGTCGTGTAAACGTAGCCGATGTTTTTATGAAAAAATTCTGTCATTTCTGTAATAATAATTAGTCTTGTCTTTATTTACTAATAAAAAACATTTAATCATACCTGAATTACACGAAAAATACACTTTTAATCCACCTAAAACTTTTTCATTTTGACATATGACATTTTCAAATTTTTTCACAGCAATCTCGATTCTCACAAAATTTGACTCCGTTTACACAACGTTTTTATTAAAATGCTCAAAAACATACAATTTGTTTTAAAATGTAACAGTCAAGTGTATAATTGACCGATTAATTGAATGACTACGCATAATGGGCACTATCATGGGTCAAGCTTTAGTTTTGATTTTTTTTAATGGTTAAAAATGCCGTGTAAACGTAGTCAACATTGTAAAAATTCTGTATTTTTTATAAATGTCATTTTTAAAAACCATGTGGTTTTCAAATTCGATTATTTTTCACTTTTATTTCATTCCCAAGAAGTAAAAATTGCATTTAAAACAGCTTCTGTTTCATTAAAATTTTACTTTAAATCGAAAATTACAGTGTCCTGTAATTACAAAAAACTTGAATTTGAATAAAATAAAATTCACGATGATTTAATAAATAACAACAAAAACAGATGCCTTAGGTAAACAAACTATTAGACTTAGAGTAAAAAGCTTACACCATCTTAACAAATTTTTACGTTTTTTTAATTTGTAAATTGCGAAAAAACTATACCTCAATGATATAATATTTTAACGTAAACCTATGTAAAATGTTCCGGGGAATTGATTGGCTTCAAGAAAACTGCAAAATTCCTAATAGTTTTGAAATTATAGGCGGATTTATATTTTTGATTTTATCAGAAATTTTCTCGATAACCATTCATCGTAGAGCACTGATCTTTTTTATGTATGATAGAAAATTAAATTTTCTTTTCAACGGTACCAAATATAAGAGGTTATCTCCAATAAGTCCGGAGTTATTGGCAATAGACCGCTCCGGGTGCCAAAAATCGACCAAAATCTCGACAAAAATCAAAAAAATTTTCAACTTTAAAATTAATCCATTTAACGTTTTTTACATTTCTAGAGGTGCTTAAGACTCAAAAAAGTGCATAACATGTTATTGGGTCAAGTTTAAAAAAATACGAATTTTTTGGATTTTTGCAAAAGGTAAGAATTCACGCTATTTACAGCAGATTTTGGGATCAAAACGGCTGTTACACAAATAGTAGTGATAGTGCCTAAATAGCGTTTTAAATTAATAAACATGATAAAATTGTTACATCCCACCACCATTCTGGAACAGCCATTTTTAGATAGAATCCAAATGGGAATTTTCACGAAATTCTCACTTGATAAAAGGGAAATAAAATAGAGAAGAAATAAACATAAAGCAACTTTATTGCTGCATAAAATACAATAGCTGTACAAGAATTGTTATGTAAGTTGTTTTAGTTAGTAAAGACTAAAGACAATCACAATAACAAATGTCCAGTATATAAGTTATTTACATACACAATAGTATTAAAATTTATACAACTGCGAGTAAAATGAGAGGAACAAAAGAAACTAAGACTACATTAAAAATAATATCCAGGAATAAAAGAATAATAGAAACTAGATTTCTAAAAATGCTGTTCCAAAATTATGATTTATCAAAGTGTTTCACTAAAACTAATTCAATTGAACGGCTTACTAGATTTAGTAACTTAGCAATACAAATCTAGAAAGCTGTGCAATCCCCAAAATTTAGTAAGCCATGCATTAAAAAAAATGATCATTTGACAGATACCAACCCTTCACCACCCTCAAATGACCATTTTTCTATCTATGACCCCGACATTTTTTTTCATTTTCTTTATTTTAATACTATTATCTAGTCACACATGCAAAGCTGTGTATAGTTTTTTACACGTTTCAAAAGCGAAATTTAAACATAAAATATCAATAATATACAAAGCGAGCAATTTACTAATCATCACAATAAAAGTTTTTTTTCTTTAACAAAAAAATTAAAATTAAACTGACTAGCAAAAATGTCTTTTTTTTTACTCCTACTTTTTTTCTTTCATTTGGAATGATACAAAATTTAGCCATCATTTTCTCTCCTATCTATCTTAAGTACAACATACAAACAATTGCACACGGACGACTTAGTTCTCTAATGATAATAAATGAAAAACAACTCAATGTTGGTCCACATAACACAAGATTATGTTTTTAGTGATTATCACAATTTTAGTGAAATTACAGGCAATGAAAAAAAATTGAAGCAACATTGCCATCACGTATTATTATCATCATCATTATCAAGTACACTAGTTATTATCTAAGCCTACTTTGATTGAATTTTTCTATTTCAAAATTTCATTATTTAAACACTGACTACTTGGGCCAACTTTAATATCTTTACAATCTATGATTTTAAGTTGGTTTAGTTAGGACTGATTACCTGAGAACTGAAGCTGAGTCTTATTAATCCGATCACGTGACCTTACTGGAAGACTGAACGGTGCACAACCGAACGGATCTTCAGACACCGACATCACTAAACTCTCCCTCGATTTAACACCTTGAATACCTAGAAAAACAAAAGCAATCAGTTAAAATGATCGTTTTTTGTTCTCCAACTCACTACTTTGACTTCCTCTTCTAATCTTGTCAAATTCAGCACCGAAAATATGATCTTCGGTCATTTGACTAAACGGTGGCTCTTCGAATGGATTCCAATCGGCTACATCGGCCGAAAGTGAACGACTATCGGGGGCTATAGGATGATTCACATCGGCTGTGGACGCAGAAACACCAGGGGGCACCAGGGGACCCTTGATCAGCTCGGGGGAGTCACTACTGCGAGGCTTCATCGACGACTCGTAAGGGGCCAGAAATTGAGACGTTTCAGAGGCATAAACCCTGAAAAAAAATTTTGACATGTGTCAAAAATGACATTTTGAAATTCATGATTGACTACGTTTACACAGCTACTCTTAAATAAAGTCGTTTGAAGCTTGGAATTAATTACAATTCTGGTTACTTTGACTCAAATATGACATAATTGACACAACTATTGACTTAACATTTTGCAAAACCAACTTTTTCTAAAAAACAAAAACACTTCAAAAGAGACTTGTGTAAACGTGCTTAATTATGTTGCTTAATACTGACTACGTTTACACAACTATTTTTAAAATAAATCAAATTTAATTATGGAACAAATGACAATTCTGGTTACTTTTTTGCATACCTCGATCCATGTAACAAATTAAAATCACAACACAAGAAAGTTAAAATAATAAAATTGTCAAAACAAGTACGAATTAAAAGACTAACACTAACGAAATGGTCGAAATCTGACTCGACTCTGATAATCACATATTGTAAAAACGCCGATAAGGGGAGTAAATTTTTTTAGATAAACGCCTTGAAGGCCTTTGAATTAAGAAAAAACATGAATTTTTGCAATTTGTGGGCAAAATAATAAAATTTTAGCACTAATTATCATCTCATTCGAGTTTTTGTCATATATTGTCAACATGATAATAAACCATTGCATCAACAAGAAAAATAAAACTTTTATTGCAAGACAAGTTCAGTTAATTGTCGTTTATAAATCCATAATTTATTAAAAATTAACATGTGTCCTTTATTTTCTATTTCTATTGTCTTTTTTGTGTCTTCTGTTCTTTAATCTCACTTTTTTCTATATTTTTTTCGTAATTTTATAATTATTTTCGGTCTTCTGTTTACACTATTATTTCTATATATTTATTATCTATATTTTCTCTCTTCCCTCTCATTTTCACTTCCTGGGTTCTCTCTTCTCAGTTTTTGTTTTTTGCTATTTAGTTTTTCTTTATTCTCGATGTTTTGTTCTCTGTTTTTTTTATTCTTTTCTCTTTCGGTCATAAATAGTTTCTGTTTTCTATTCTTTGATCTCTCTGTTTTCTGTCCTTTTTTTTGTTTTTTCTTTATGGTTCTCGTTGTATCAAATATCAAATTCAATTTTTTAAAGTTTATTAAAACTAGATGTTCTTGCATGTTAAAGCTTTTAATAATTTTTAAATAAATTAATAATAATCCTTAAATTTTACTTTGTTTTTTGTAGAATTTTCAAAATTTTATTTCTTTTTCCGTTCATTATTGTCTCAAAATCTATCAAATACTTTTCCAAAATTCTAGAATTTGAAATTAAATAAATAACAAAAACAACAACTTGAAATCCCACTCAACTGAAATAAAAAATACAAGTACTAGACATTTTTTCGTAAAAACATCAATTATTCTCAACATTTCAATTTAGCATTTATTTGAACCATCATGTTTTTTTCTCATTTTTTTTTGTTTTCAGTTTTTATCTTTCTTTCTCTCTGCTTCTGTTTTCTGATCTCTGTTTACATTATTTTACATTTTCTCTGTTCCCGATTTTTCTGATTTTTATTCTCTATTTTTCATTTTCAACTCTATTTCTTGTTTACTGTTTTTTTTTGTGCTTGAGTCCCTATTCTCTGTTTTTTTTACTTTGGTTAATGTTTCCCTCTATTTTTTTTTCTGTGTTTCCTGTTCCCTATTCCCTATTTCATTCTTTCTTTTCTTTCTTCTTTATGTTGTGTTTTTCTTTTATTATTTCATTGTTGTTTTTGTTGTTCAATAAATATTTATCATGCACATTTTTGCCCTGTCATTAGAGCCGCCAATTCATCATTGCGCTTATTATACAGGGTGTCTCAACGAATTGGTAGAGTCCATTAAAGTTTAAAAAAATGTATATAGGCAATTGCTGAAATTATTTTCAACTATACAGCGTGTCCCAAAAATAAATTACAATACAAACTTGTGGTGTATGTAAACGTACTTAATTATGTTCCTTAATACTGACTACGTTTACACAACTATTCTTAAATAAACCAAATTTAATTATAAAATAAATGGCAATTCTGGTTAACTTTACTCAAAAATGGCATAATTGACACAATTTTTGACATATTTGTAACACATTTTGCCAAATCAAGTTTTTAAGAAAATCACTTCAAAAAAGACTTGTGTAAACGTACTTAATTATGTTGCTTAACACTGACTACGTTTACACAACTATTCTTAAATAAACCAAATTTAATTATAAAATAAATGAAAATTTTGGTTATTTTTACCCAAAAATGACACAACTATAGACACAATATTTGTTACTTGTGTAAACGTACTCATTTCTGTCATTTTTGACAGCTGTCATTTTTTACTTATTAAAAGCCGTCGTATCGCTCATATTCCTCCTGTGTCCCTTGGGTACGGCCAAAGTCGGTGTAGAAGGCGGTGTCATCGTCGCCCCCACATAATTACTCGATTCAGTCAAACTCGGTTTTACTTGCGCCCCCTGATTTAAATTCCCCGAACCAAATAAGGGATTTTCGGACGATACTGGCGACATCACTTGTCCTCCTCCACCATTATTAGGCTCATTAGTCGGTGATTCACTCGTATTATCATCTCGAAATGGATCAGGATAGATGGAAGACTGGAAAAGGGAATCCAATTGTTTTGGTTGTTGTGTCTGAAAATTAGACGGGTATGTGACAGTTATAGGACTTTGTGATTTTTTACTAGTGGTAGGACTGGGACTTAAAGTTAGAGGAAGGTTAGTGAGATTAAGTGGTGTGGTAGAACTGCCTTTAGGACGTTGACGTGGCATCACACTCGTACTTTCAACAATGGGGGCTGCTGGCGTCTTATTGTACACTTTTATTTGAGCTTTCTTCAGTTCAGACTCAAATGGGGGCATCGGGAGGTCGTCTAGTCTCGGAATGGGCGATTTCTAAAATTTAGCCAATCAGAGTGAAGCTTTTGGGGCACAGCCAACTCACCATTAAATTTTTCACAGGATTTTCTTTCGATAACAATTGAAATGCGATACAACTAACTTGGAAAATGTCAGGCCTTTGGTCAGGGTCCGGCTCCAACATGTAACCTAATTAATTAATTAATTAGTTAATGTGATGCGATAGAAACGCGATGAATTACATATGTAACTATGGTATTAAAAAGCCACAAGAAATAGAAAATTCAGACCAGTGGCGGGTTTGATAAAATTTTCCGCTATTTTTTTTAATATCAGCCATTTTTTTATGATAATAACTGTTGCAACATGACCTAGCTACGAATTTTTTAAATTATCCAAATTAAATATTAACTGTATTGATAATTTCAGAAATGTATTTTTTTTGTTATAGTAAACATACAGGACGTCTCAAAAATAATAGAAAAAAAGACTTGGTTTCAAAATATTTGATTTTTTTATTTGGAAACCCGTTTTTTATCGTAGACGAGTCGCACATGTGAGTAGGTCGTGTAGTTGCCATGGAAATACAATAAATTACATATGTAACTATGGTAACAAAAAGCCAAAAGAAATCGAAAATTCAAACCAGTGGCGGGTAGTTTTTTCTTTGATAAAATCTTCCGCTTTATTTTTTAGTATCATTGAATTGCAATTAAAACAAACTTACGAATTAGTTGATGTAAACCTTTCGAATATTTCGAATTATCTGGAATGCTAAAGTTTCCACTTTGTATAGCTAAAGTACTCTCCCCAAATGGTAACGTAAAAAAGCATAATCGGTACAATAAACACCCAAGGGCCTGCAATTAATTAAATTAAATTATAATTAGGGAGTTTTGAGTGTGTTTTTTACCCAAATATCAGCTTTAGTCGTGATTGGTTTCCCACAATACATGTCAACCATTTCAGGTGCTCTATAACTCAGTGTTGTGTACCGTTTAATCTCTTCTTCGACGGCCGCAGCCCCCTTATCGGCCGGATTCAGTACTTTAGCTGTCGCCGAACCAAAATCACAAATGACGTAGTTACCATTTTCACCTACCAAAATATTCTCTACCTGAAATGAGTAATTTTTGAAATTGCACTAAATCAAGTGTGAAAAACCTTTAAATCACGATGAATTATTGGAGTTTTGCAATGATGCAATCGCGACACGGCCTCACAAGTATCACAGAAAATCGTCAAAACTTCAAGTTCGGTAAAATTCGCCTTGCCTCGTTGTTTCATAAGCCCGAAAACGTTCTCCTGACAATAAGGCATCAACAAGAGGACCTCATAAACGCCCCCTCCCGTGGCCGTGAGACTCGAATCCACGTATCCGATGATGTTCTTGTGGCCGCTTAAACTGCTCTAAAACCGTCACATTCCTCAATGGGGGGATTTGAGGGGGTTTGGGGGACTTACAGCGATTTGAATTTCACGTTTGGCCACATTGAGGTCTTGCTCGTTGTTGACGTACATGCGTTTGAGGGCGTAGCGAGTGCCATTACCCCCCTTCACCAAATACACGATTGCGAAGCCACCTGAAGCGAGGAGAGTTAGGGGGGGTCCCCGGAATGTAATTTAAGTGTTACCTTCGGCCAAGATGTCCTCGACGGTCACCGTTTGGCGCCCGACTGTGAACACTTTACCTATGGAACTGTTACCTTCCTTCGAAGTGTTATCTATTTTAGTTTCAATCTTGGAAAAGAGTTTTTTCATCTTAAGACATCGGAATGCGACACTTCGGCTATTTTCCCACACTTGCTAACACTTTAAATCGACGATTTTTATTAATTGATTAGAATAATTGTCCGCATAATGACGTTTAAGAAAGTGTGACAAGTGACAAGTAAATGTCAATGGTGCCAACGAACGAAATTTAACACGATACTCCCCCAAAACCGACACAATTACATTTTAAATCAAACACCAAAATAATAAAAAGTGTGCCAATTTCTCTCGTTCTACGTTAATACAGTCTTAAATTGTTGTTTTTGATTATTTAGTAATAATTTTAACACATTCGTTCTAGTAAACTTTTATACAAACAACCACGAATGTTGACCCAACCGAATCAATTTCATTAAATCAGACGGAAATCAGACACCAAACTGGCCAAAACTATCTCAAATTTATTGCGCCAAGTTAATTCAGTCCCAAAATTGTTTTGTTTAATTCTTTTGTGACTTTCGTTTTTGTGAACCTTCGGTCACAAGTTGACTGTCAAGTTTGGTGGTCGATAAACTAAGAATCGAGTATTTTGTTGAAAATTCGCCTTTAAGTATGAGTTTCCAGTTTAACAGTCAAGGTTTGTGTGAATTTGGGTGTGTTTTTGTCACTTGGTGTGTTTTTTGCAGGGAATGGGACTGGGGGCCAGTCCGGGTTTGCCCCCTCCGACCCGAGCGACTTCGCCCTGTTCCCGGCCGGTTTGAACGACTCCCCCTTGGAGTTCAACATGAGCAAAAGCAAGACACCTTCGCGGCCCGTTGACGACAAAGACGACTCAAGTTTGAGCCCCCCTTCGGACAAAAGGGGCCGTCGTAGAGACAGAGACCGGCGAGACACCGACAAGTCTCGCGACGACTCCGATTCGAACATGTCCAACTCGCAGGACGTGATTCCAAACATGTGGGGCGGCATGATGGGAATGGGGTACCCCATGGTGGGCATGAACATGATAATGGACCCGAGCATGATATCGATGAACAACTACGGCATGATGCCCCCAATGATGGCCCCCGACCCCAATATGATGACCCCCGCCGACGCCAACATGCTCATAAATCCGGTCAAGGAAATCATACATTGCAAATCCTGTACGTTATTTCCCCCGAATCCAAATGCACCGCCGCCTACAACACGGGAACGGCCGCCGGGCTGTCGGACGGTTTTCGTCGGGGGTTTACCCGAAAATATGACCGAGGAGATTATAACCGAAGTGTTTGAACGTTGCGGCGAAATTACGACTTTGAGACTGAGCAAAAAAAATTTCTGTCATATTCGATTTGTCTATGAGGCGTCGGTTGACGCCGCCATTTTTCTCTCAGGTTACCGAATTCGCATTGGTTCGAATAGTGATACGCCAAATACTGGCAGGTTGCATGTGGATTATGCCCAGGTTTGTGTATACAGAGTGTGTCAAAAAATTCTATCTGTCAAAACATTTTGACATTTGGCATTTTTTTATGTCAGATTTCTTCTGTATACAGTGTGTCCTCAAAAATGGCAATTTTTTCAAGGCACGCGACGATCAGTATGAGTGGGAGTGCCGACAGAGACAGTTGCAACGAGAACAAAGACACAGAGAGAGGATGGAGGAGGAGAGATTGAGACCGCCATCACCGCCCCCTGTTGTCCATTATACAGACCATGAGGCCATAGCAATAGCTGAAAAAATCAAACAGGATGATACTTTTACCAAAGCAGTTTTGGTATTTTTAGTATAATTATAAATTAAAAAAACTATAATAATTTTATTACAGGTCGTAATCACGTGGTTGGAACGTGGCGATTGTAATAAAAGAAATGCGAATAATTTTTATTCAATGATACAATCGACGAATTCACATGTACGAAGATTACTTAATGAAAAATCACAGTATGAAGAAGAATTGAAGAAAGCGAAAGAGATAATGAAGGGACGAATGCAAGGCATTTTGTTACAATGTAAGTGAATATTTTTTTGTTTTGTCAAATTCAGCAAGTTTTAGTAAGTATAAAAAACCGAGATATAGATCAGGAATTTGTGCTACACTTCGTTTCGAAGATGTAAAAATTTTTGGTGTATAGGAAAGGCGATAAACATGTCTACTATAAAGATTCAAACTTGCAAAATAGGGAGAAAATAACTAATTTCGTATTTTTCCTTTGTTATAGTAAAAATACAGGTCGTCCCAGAAAAAAATTGGTGACAAAATATTTGTTTTTTTTTTTTATTTGAAAACCCGTTTTTTAACCTAAACGAGTCGCACATGTGAGTAGGTCGTGTTGTTGCCATGGAAATGCAATGAATTACATATGTAACTATGGTAATAAAAAGCCACAAGAAGTAGAAAATTCAGACCAGTGGCGGGTAGTTTTTTCTTTGATAAAATCTTCCGCTATTTTTTTTTTAATATCAGCCATTTTTTTATGATAATTGTTACAATTTGACCTAGCTAAGAATTTTTTAAATTATTTTTGGGATATTTTAAATATTAACTGAAAAAATTAAAGGGAACTGTATTTTTCAACTAAAAATGTATTGTTACTTTTAGAAATATATTTTTTTGTTATAGTTAAAATACAGTCTCAGAAATAATAGAAAAAAAGACTTCGTTTTAAAATATTTGATTTTTTTATTTGGAAACCCGTTTTTTATTCTAGACGAGTCGCACATGTGAGTAGGTCGTGTAGTTGCCATGGAAATGCAATGAATTACATGTGTAACTATGGTGACAAAAAATTACAAGAAATAGAAAATTCAGACCAGTGGCGGGTTTTTTTTTTTTTTTTGATAAAAATCCTCCGCAATTTTTTTAATTAACTACAAAAAGTTAACTGGAACACCTGTATTTATTTTTACTACTTTTGTTAAGTCTGAACACATAAAAGCCTTGGATTTTTAGACAAAATTCGAAACATTTAATGATTTAAAAAATGTTTTTTTTTCTTCTTATGGTAGATATGTTTACTTTTCTCATTCCCATTAACCGAGCAAAAAATTGATGGTCGTTTGGAAATTTGTAATAAAAATTGGCAAAAAAGCAATATTTTCTATGTGTGGTAAAGTATATCAGTTTATATACTGTAAAAAATAAGTCGGGCTACAGTATAGTTTAACAATTAAGTAATGGTCATTCATCATGGTTCTGTGGTTTAATTTATATTTGCGTGTGCCTGTTAGTCAGTCAAATTGAGCGATTGTTCGTGGCGGCCTGTCACAAGAAGGTTTGGGACCATTTCACCAAAGCTCAAAGAAAGAATATTGAAACGTGGAAAAAGCTGTCTATGGTACGTACCACCTTGGACAACACAAAATTGAATTTTATTTTATTTTAATTTTTTTCAATTACCAACAAATCACAAAATAGTTTTGTTTCGTCCAAGGTTTGCATGATGTAAACTAGCAACATAGTTTAATGATTAAATTTAGTGTTGTAAAAAGGGAGAAGGTAAGTTTGGGCCAACAACACCCCAACGATGGTTCAACAACAAATTCCGACACGATGGACAACTTTGGTATTACGTTTGTTTTTTCGGAAAAATCTAATCAATGTTGTTGTAAATAAATAAATCAGGCTCTCGTGCTCGACGTGGAAAAAGGTCAGTGTTGAATTTTCAGGTCTGAAAAAAATACATATAACCAAAATTCGGTAAGTTGAAACGTAAAAGCAAAGTTGTCCTCGAAAATGCACTCAAGAGGTTTTTTCATTTCTGTTTGATTTTGTGTCCGTAGTTTGTTTCAAAATTTAGTGAATGTGAAATTAATCGATTTTAATTTCTAGGAAATCAAAAATGTGCAATTGGATGAGCCAACTACCGATAAAGCCGACGATGAAATGGACGTTTCTGATGAAGATGAGCCATTGAAGAAGAAACATCGTGATGGTGCAAATGAAGAACGGAATAATTTGAAAGAAGAAAATGAAAGTCTTCGGTGTCAAATGGAGGCGTACAAGAATGAAGTGAGTGGCATATTTTCTCTCACTCTTGGTTAAATTAATTAATTCATTAATTGAATTTTTTTGCTAAAAAAAGTTCAATGCGATTATTAAAAAAAGTACTCAACACAGAAAAAAGACTAAAAAATTTTAATTAAAAACCAAAAATACCTGAACAAAAAAATGTTTTTAATACAAAAATTTTTAAAAAATTAATAA